GGGGGGCCCTAGAATAATGTCTAGAGATTTGAGGCTTTAAATCTTTATTCCTTTTCTTTGCCTTTTGATTTGCTTTACTTACCATTGAAATTGCAGGTCTTTGGATTGAGATTTCCATTGAAATTTAAACAGTTAGTTCTATTTCCATTGATTCATTCCCTTTTATTGTAATTAATATTCCAGATGTCTTCAAAGATAGGAATTATTATTTCCTTTTAATTTAATATTGCCAGAGTAGCTCCAGAGGTAGCTAGCTAAGGATCATTTGATTATCAACTGATTGATTTTCTTATACATTATTTTGGAGGCCTTGGTTGTTGAGGGGGGGGGCGGGGGGTTTATAAATCAAGGGACTACATTAGTTGCTTACAGTAAGTAGCAACATAATTGTAGCAAACTCCTAGAGTGCACAGGGCCTTCTACACCCACTGCGCCTTGGTGCCTGAAAGAACGCGACACACATTCTTGAATTCTTCTCAGCGTCCCAATGTAGCTTGCGGCAACGGTCAAATCAATGATTGACGCTGCACACAGCCTCTTCTGTAGGGTCTCAAGGCTCCTCACATTTTCTGGACAATTGATGGTACCTGACACTGTTCAGTTGTATATGCACAAATGCAGGCGGTTGTTCAAGCTCCTAGCATGTGAAGTATATACATCTCCAATCTGGGGCACTGATCGTGATCAAGCTCGCTGCAATGCCGGCGGATGCAATGGCTGCAGTCACATCCACCGCGCACTTTGCCTTTCCTTGCTTGCCTCTCTCAGCGAAGTTGGTGGCCTTGCACAGAGCAGCAAGAAGGGCCTTCGGAACATACACTCCGGTCCAAAGACTGGTCTGCTTGATCAAGGGAAATATATGGAACGAAACATGTCCGGAGTCTGGAGATTTGCACCTGTTTCTCACGGGCTATGGCATCAAAACGCCTCAACCCAACAATGCCTAACTCCACTTGGCCGAGTGGCCCCACAGTCTTGCACGGCCATGGCTGAATGCACAGCCGCTTGTGCAAGTCGAGCAGCAGATTTTTGGGTGTCCAAGGCACAGGCAGCTTGCTCCCACTTGCGCTGGTCTCGACTGATCCTCAACGTTGTTCTCAAGACATCACCGGAAATGGAATCGCGTACATTCACTGGCTGGTCTACTCCAGAGCTCTAGTCCCTCACTCACCCCCTGAAGCAAAGCACATGTTGCCTTGGCCAAGGCACTTCAAGTCATAGATCTTTTGACCAACGCTCTTCATCATTCTTTTCTTCAACGCCAAGCACTTGAGGTTCTATAGTCAAACCTGCATGTGACTCACCCTGGAGTGACTCCCAGGTTTCAAAATCAAAAAAGAAGAACTCTTCTTTTCCTCTACATCCAAGGGTTCCCAGCTTCAGGAGTTGGCTCTTCGATCTCCTCGTCTCCATTTTGGCCTCCGATCTTCTGCAGCAGCTCGTTGGCCCTCTTCTTCAGGTACTCGGCATCCGACTCCAAATCGGCCTAGATCAACGATGCATCCCCATGCAACAGCTTCCAAAAAAGGTCCACCAAGACAAGCCATGCAAAAGGCTCAAATTGGCAGGACTGTAACATGTGTCAGACTCATGTGTCCACTAAATTGATCGTATTCTGCTGAATGGGACGAGCGCCCGGGGGCGCCTTCTGCTTCTCAAAGGGCGCCCCAGGCAGTTCCGTGAACTCCTCCAGGCGCCGGGTTCCAGCGCCAATGGCGAAGTTCCGCTTCTGACGGTCCCGGCTTTGCGTTGCTTGGAACGCTTCGCTCCTGGGAGGGCGGACAGGACGGAGCCGGAGGAGGGAGGACCGGACCGGACGGACTGGACGGAGCTCCTCCCAAAAGACTCCGTCTCAAAATGAGGCGTGGCGAAGTCTTTAGACTTCAAGTGGGAAAGTGTCATTCCTGCAAATATGGTCCGGGAACTCTACGGTTCACATATTCACTCAGCATCTTGTCAAAAGTCTTGATTGGATGTCATCATGTCTTGCTCGTGGGTGGGGGAGGGCAATCGGATACATGTATATATATATACACACACATATATATATATATATATATATATGTACATACACATACACACGTGCAAAATACCTCGTGCCTGCTATCGATGCAACCACATCTTGCTTACATAGATTTGTAATATGTGTGTATAGCATGCATATGTACAATACACATCTGCCTCATCTACCTATTTCTAACAAGAAGCCCAGATTGACCAATAAGCAATAATTAGCATCAACTAGCTGCGAGCCTTTAGACTTTCTATGGGTGTATCCAAGCCAAAGCTAAAGACAAGCCAACCCCAAGCTAACCCTCCTAAATAAGCCCAAACTAGCCCGTGAGAAAAGGATATATAACCCCGATCGTTCCACAACCAGACCCAACCGATGGCAAGATTTCCAACGTAACAATGACAACCCAACACAAGCGAGGGTTGTGCAGCAACAAAACACAAGGGGTGGCGGTGACATATTATGAACCTTGTGATTCAAGATTTACCTTTGTACGTAAATTTTTCCAGTGGACCACCGAAACATAGAGACAGCTAGTCAAAGACACAGAACATACAGTGACAGACAACAAACGGACGAACGGATAGACGGACTGACGGACAAGCAAACATGGAATATGAGTGAAGGACAAAACACCATGTGAACTGCTGTATTGAGATCAAATGACCTTGGGCATGACAAGGTAAATGTTCAATAACAGTATGTAACAGAAAAAGTGAAGTTTGACGCACATGGATTGACGCATGTGCACAGGCTTGTCACCCAAGTAGTCTACTCGTTATGAATCCATGGAGGAAGAGCACAACTCTGACCCCCCTACTGGCTTCTCATGCCACGGTTCTCCCGGAGTTTTTCCACAATTTTCTTGAGAAGGGCAAGCTCCTGAGCTCAAAATTTGCCAATCAGCCACCACACAAACAAAAGCTAGAAATAGGTAAAACAAACCCGCAATCAGTATCTCAATGTTCAAAACACTTCCAGCGTGCTGCCAGTGCAGTCACAGCCCAGCGTCTTTCTTAGTGAAGTCGCGCCGAAGTGCCGGATCTGCTGTAATCGGAGGAGGAGTGGTTTCTGCAAGAAGGTTTCTGCGTGTTTCAAGAATGTAAAAGTAAAGCTCGGCGATCACAAGGATCGCATCATCATTACAGAAATCAGCTAGGGCAAGCAAAACTCTAAAACTTTCCACTCTTCAACCTGTTTTTGCCAAACAGTTTTAGAAACCTTGAACTATGTGGGATCATATGACTTTGAGCCTTCTTTTAAACATCCCGCCTTTGTAGCCACCAGGTGGCAAACAGTTTTGCTTCATCCCTGCGCCGGCGGAGGCGGCCAAGAAGGAGTTCCTGACATCTGCCGAATCTCCGCCGCTACCGCAACGCCCGTTGGTCCCAACGCGGTGTGAACGGCGGAGAGTCTCGGAGGGGGTTTGTTCCAGGGCTGTTTGGTATGGGTGTCGTTCCGCAATCAGTGTTTCACGGCATCGGTGTTGGGTTTGTCTCGCAAGCGTCGTCAACAAGCCAGTTACATCAAGAGAACAGCCAGCATTGAGATTGAACTCTGGGCCGCAGGAGGAGACCATGTCCTCCGAAGGAACAGCAATGCCAAGCTCAAGCCGCTTTCGGCCACTGTCAGAAAAAGCTGCTCAACGATGTAAGCAAAAAGCTGGGGGTCATCCCTCTCTCTCTCTCTCTCTCGCTCTCTCTCTCTCTCTCTCTTTCAGCACTGGCAGCTCCACTCTCAATGCGCAACTCAGACTAGGCCCCTAGGTGTGTCCATGTCATGCACTCCTCAATGAAGCAAGCCAAATATCCCCAAAGTGCCAAATTCAGAGAGACCAACCCGCCACAGAAGTCCTGTCAGGCCACCCAGGTGAGCATAGATTGATGCTTTCATGCAGCCAGATTTTGGTACAAACATGTTTGATCATTTTTGTATGCGAGCCGTCCAGTCGTCCTGTTGCTCGGGGTTTTGTGGATAAGGCGACTTGCAAGCATCGACCAAGGCGTGAATATTCGTAGCAATCCTCAGCCAGCAGCACCAGGTCTCCAATGGAGGGATCACCAGGTCTGGACCCAATCACCAATCCCCCCCTCTTCATTCACCTCCGCGCATGTGGGAATAACCATGTTACGAGCATCAGGGAACCCAAAACAGTGTCGAAGTCCCCAGTTGAACCCTGTTACGAGCATTGGCGACCTGTTACGAGCATTGTCGCCAAGAGTCTGACCAATCGTCAAAGCAGACTGGTAGGCATCAATGGCACACATGCCAATGTTCAATTGCTGCCTCAGGCCAGTTAGACCCTCCCTCCGAAGCTGGAACTTGCCAAACCTCCAAAACCAAGGAACATGTAGCTCAGGTCCATCACAGGAGTTTCCTCTTGAAGCATTCAGAGCTTCTGCATGGTCACGTTGGGGTGCACCACACTTGGCGAGAGAGCGACAAGTGCTTGTCCAGAGTTGGGGAGGGAACCCAGTCAGTCGAATGTGAAAGCATCTATTTCAATGAATTCATCTGTGGGACGATTGTTCGCTGAACATGCACGTCGGGAAAGGTAAAGAAACACAACCATCGGCGCTTGGGTCCGATGTGCCCAACCCAACGACGGCAACAAAACAATGGTACAGAAAACAAGAAATGAAGTCGAGCACGCCTTAGCACGTATTGAACTGACAAGAAGCTGTTTGGGCTTGGACTTGATATTGCTGGGATCGGAGTTGTCAATGTCCAGATACTTGACCTCCTTGAAGACACTTCCATCTGGAAACATGTCCTGCACAACAGCGCACGAGACATTACATTTCATCCAAGGACCGTTCTGACCAACCTAATGTTCTAGTAGTTGGAGAGGAGGCGTCCTGAAAGACATTGAGGAGGTCCTGAATATCACGCTTGTCTGGGAATGGCAGCTTGGAATGCTCTTCCATGCTTGGCCCATGTGCATTCGTGACGGCTTTGAATTGCTCGCGATGCAAGTAGACATATCCAGCCGTGACTGACAAGCTAGATGCCAACAGAAGAGTCACAGCGCTGGCAATCACCATGCCACGGCGGCTGGTGCTCTTGCTTGCCATCCATTCACCTGCCACCAAGGGTGCCTCCTGCTCCACGTCTGCCATTGCTCCAAGCTTCGGATCCGATCAACTCCGTGAAGTGGAGCCAAAATGGCTGCAAGACACAGCCAGTTGAAGCCAATCGCCTATCAGGCTCTCAGCTTCGGGCGCTTCGTGCGACTGCACAAACCATGACAGCGAGAAACTCTTCCAACTCCCAACTCGCGAGTGTGCCGCTTCGGCCGCGGTCCCGGCACTTAAGAGTCAGTGCTCAACTCTCACCACTCTCACACTACTCACTGCGCTCCCTTCAGGAAGGCTTTGGCATCGAAGAGTGCTTCCACCTTTTAGGCGTTCGAGTTGGGCTACGCTTTTGGGGGTATGTTTTGCCGTTTTTATGTGGACGTGTTTCTTACTGCTAGGGTTTTGAAATGGTGTAGCAGGAGTTTCTGGTTGCTTTGGGTTGGTTTTGGCAAGATGCTCGGGTGAACATCTCAGGGATTTGATCAAATAGTGCCCCTGCGTAGGGAGGAGAGCTATTTGCACGCATCATGTCCTGGCAAGAACTGTTTGGTGTTTGAGTTGGTTGTGCCTTGGATGGGTTGAATGCTGGGTTGGGGGGTGAGCCAGGTCTCCCCATAAAGCGGCTTAGCTTTGGCTTGTTGAAAGCTGGACGGGGTAGGGGGGCTGGGGTGTGATTTGGTTTGGTTTTGGATTGATTCTGGCTTGGCGTAGTTAGTTTAAAGCTGGATGGGGTTGGGGGAAGGGCACCGCGCCCTCCAGAAACGAACCAAAAACAAACGTCAGCAAGGAGACTGCAGAGGGGGCTATCCCCATGCGTCTCCCCCAGAAGCAAAACAAATACAGAAATCTGCAAGCAGACTGACTCGCAGCTAGCAGTCTGCCCACAAAATCGTTTTGTTTGGTTTGGCTTTAGGTGGGGATGACTTTTCCTACCATGGGTACGCTCCACCCAGCGCTTCAAAGCACTCAGATTGAGTTCAGGCCCTTGGGTGAGAAGCATTATCATTGTTTTGTGCGAAACATATCCTCGCCTCCCTTGCTCCCTTGCTCCCTCCTTCCTTCCTCCCTCCCTCCGTCCTTCCGTCCTTCCTTCCTTCCTCCCTTCCTCTCTTCCTCTCTTCCTCTCTTCCCTTCCCTTCCTTCTGCACACTTATTTACAGTATATAATATATATATATATAATGTTGTGCAAAAAATACAGGATCACCTTCGAGTTAGCTTTCTGGAAGCCTTTCATCTTCCACCACCATTTCTCCGTTCCTTAATTGCATCATATACCTCTAAGAAAGAAACACATGCATGTATGTACGGTTTGGTACACATAATTGCTGCTAAAAGCAAGACGTACGCATCGTACGCATGTCTGTATGCCTTCGAAACTATGTCCAGCACTTCCCAAGAATGCAGCGGCAAGCGCTGGCCTCCTCTCCACGTGCCTTTTGCCGCGTGTCAAAGTTTTGCAGGGTGAAGTCGCAAGCCTTGTCACCAATTGACAATCAGAACCACCGCTCGGGGATGTTGATTTGGGGAATCGGTCGCTGGCTCTCTCCCAGAACAATCATTCATGGCAATGGGGAGTCATTATATACGATATATATATATATATGCGCCATATCACTCCAGCCGGCCAAAGGCCTACAGTAAAAGGATGGGGCACCAGGGCCCTTCCGGGGTAGAACATCTCTCTCTCTCTCTCATTCAGAAGCGTTCGCCTCATGCAACTCCAGCTTGGTATCTGCGAAGTTGCTCACCTCACGCAGGTCCAAGTGCCCATCAAGCGACATCATTCACAATTGAAGACCCACAAAAGAAGCCACCTCGCCCATGTGACATGAATCAGAGGTGGGGGCAAACAATTAGCGACACAACCCTGCAAGTTGCCGAGACGATGATGCCACAGGTCTCTTCAAGCCTCTTGTTCAACACCCTTCTGGGACTTCCGGGTCATCACCAACTTCTCCTCCATCTTGGCTTGTTCAGCTGCCTGATGCACGCCAATCGGAAACCGTTTGGAAACAACACACCAGCACAGCCCGGTCCTTGTGCTCCAAACCCTTGTTCTTTGCTGCAAGGGCGGCAATGGTGTCCTCACACATCAAGTGAATTCTGACATTAAAACATGGCAAAACTCAGCGGAAACCCATAAACTTCAGGCAAGCAGGTCTAAATGAGCTAGTGCAATCGGTTGAAAAAGTGCATCACTATGCAAACCTATACATATATATATATATATAAAGTTCAACGAAACCTTATCTAGCAGCCTAGCAACGATGCATAAAAATAGTAATACCTCATCTATATATATATATATAGTCTCTTACCCTTGTCTAGCAAGCAGGGGTTTCAAGTGAAAAATGCTCAGGTCCTAAACTGGGCGACGCTATCTTTCATGATCAGAGGGAAACGGAGTCCTTGCCGAAGGCCTCATAGTCTGCCTGAGCCTCACGCTCCGCTGCAGAGGACTCTGCTTCCATCTCCTTGGCATCGGCGGCCAGCTCCTGTAGCATCAGCATCACCTGGAGATTCCAACAAACGCCGACGAGTACCAAGGCCGGAGCCCAACGATGCCACGATGCCCTCTTTGTTGGTCTCCAGTGGATGGCTATTGGAACACTGGACTTGCTGTGACTTTTTCTTGCACATGCAGTGCTGGCTAGGTGTGATCGATCGTGCTGTCACTTCCAAGCACAACCCAGATCTGCCAAGCTACGCCCTGGCCGTGGTTGTTCTTCTTGTAGCTGCCGAAGGTCTCTGGCTCTGGATCCTCCTTTGCAACATGCCAGAGGCGAACTGGTGCTGCGTTGAGACGAAGGCCATTGTGCGGCTACTGCTGGAGGCCACCGCTAGACTCCAAAACGTCAGAGACAAGTCTCACATTGATCAAAAAGTTCAGCCCCTCAATTTCCCAAATCAAGTGCCGTCCCAGAGGAACAGAATGAAGCCTCGTGAAATTCTTGAAATTAAACCAAACCTCATCTGGTGCCTCCCTCCCTGCTCCCTGCCTGCAGCAACGACTCCGGCTTTGCATAAAACTCTTGTAGCACATGCATCGCCTTTTTGAGGAGAACCTGGTCATTTTCCAGCAGTCATCACACGCCACCAAAACACTACACTACACTACACCCTCCAGAAAAAAAGCTTTACATAATGAAAGCATATAAAAGCCGGCCACTGTCCCATGTTTAGCCGTTTAGCCCACCCTGAGAGGAATCTGCACAGCCCCTGCACTGCCCCCACTGTCGGCCCTTCAAAACATGTTGTTAAGTAAAGCTAGTCTAGCTCCGCCTCCTTTCCCCGTGCCCCGGGGAAGAACGTGCACAATGCCCCCAAGTCCTACTGGAACTTATCATGCACAGTTGTCTGTTGTTCTCCAAAGGGCTTGCGTTTCTCGTTGTTCCTGGACCACCTTCTGAAACTCAGCGTTTTCTTTCTCCCGGTTCTGCGCAGCCAGCTTCCTTAGAATTCATTCTTCCACGGCCACCCTTCAAGCGCGACGAAACGGGCTTCCAAGGCCCTTTGAAAGAAAGCAACAACGGTAGGAGGGTTGCATCCTGCTCGGCTACTCAAGCCATGGTGCTGCTGCTTCTGAAGCTCCAAAACTTCCCCTTCCAGCTCCTGGGCTGCATAAGGTGTGCTTCAAGCAAGTGCCCTGGACATGAACACAACCTGAATCTGTAGCTTAGCCTTTCTGCAGACCTCATGCAACCCAGCAGGCCCAGAAGTTGTGTCCTTAGACTCCGCCAGCAGAGCTTTTAACTGCTGCGTCACCTCCTGCACAAATCAAGAAGCAAAAAGGGAACAATGTAAGTGAAACCAAGGATATGAAACCAAGGATAGGTCCAAGAAGTAAGCCTATTCTCCACGCACTTCCTGTGATGCAGCATTCAAGCCCTCGCCCTGGCGCTTCTTGGCGTCCGCTGCTAACCTTCAAAAGGTTCATTGGGGAGCTGTGAAGGTGTTCAACATCTCCAAACGTTCCCGAATTGTTCCCCTCTCCATCTCTCCAAAACGGCCGCCTATTCTGATTGAACTCTGCCACGCAGTAGTCCTTCTTCTTCACTTCATTCGCCTGCTCAGTCTTCAACGCCGAGATCATCAGATCGATCTTTTCTTGCACCTCGTGAACGTGAGTAGTGAACGTTGTGAACCAGTTCTTCTTGGGGGGACTCTTCGGGAACAAACACAAATCGAACTGGACAATGGGTCATGAACCGTGAACCACTAAGAAAAAAGACACGTCAAGCTGGTCTGCAGTTGCACTCTTGCTTTTCCAATCCTCTGCATCCACCGGGAGAGGAAGCTGGTCTGAGCGCTTTCTACCGTCATATGGTCCAGCTCAGCCAACAAAGCACCGCATCGGCCTCCTGTGGGGGGCTGACTTGCTACGTGGGCAGGGGCCCACAAGCAAAGGCATCATATCAAATCATATCACTCAATTCTTCTTAAGGCCTTCAAGATCTTCAAGCACCTTTTTGCAGATTGGAGTAGCTGCTTTCTCCCCCTTAAAGTCTAATTCAAGATCGCCCAAGTAAACGGCACCTCGGTCAATTTCCGGATGAGCTTTGGGAAATCCACAGCTTCGAATTCGCACCGTCTGGTCATCCTTCAGGTGAAGATCTGCTTTGGAACCATCTGGCCAGAACAGCCCACCCTCTCTTCGGCAAGGATACTTGGAGTACCTCCTTGGGTCCTCCAACACACATGCAGCTTGTGCAAGGCGTACCAAGACCGTACTAAGACCTGCATACTCAAACACGTACAATGCACACCCAGCACAGTGGAAATTCCTACGGCTGCGGAACTCGAGACATCTTCAAAGCACCTTGAAACGATAGAATTTGCATTTGCTCCCCAGCCTGGGCGTGTAATCGACACAGGCGTACCAAATTGGAGCCTTCCACAGAAGCCTTCACCCGCTCCACACCCTCGCGAGAAATTAAGCGCCGCTGGAGAGCAAGCTGAGATGCCTGTAGATAGCTTTGAAAGTACAGTACGCGTGAGTGTGGCACCAGTGGTGCCTTGCAGGGACACAACTGGCCCAACTTTCGAAGGGGAGTTACTGTAGGCCTTGGCATCTGACAAATGCTAATATATAAATACAAAACGAGAGCTGCAAAGAACCCTAGGCAAATCCCTCCAAATGTTCATTTTGCAAAATCGTTGGCTCAATCCTTAGAATGCACAACTTGCAATGGACCTGCAGGGAAATAATCCAGCAAGACTCCGGGCAAAGATTGCTGAAGGATGCTGAAAGCACGTACTCAAAGAATTCCAATATGTTTGAGCATCCCAATGCCAATTTATAAGAATACCAGGGTGACCCTATCCAGCACTGTCACTGTATTCTGGTCAGCTATCCCAGACCTAATGGAGGGGCCCTGCACCTTGTCAGACACCTGATGGATAAAGGCCGCCACAAAGGGTGGACCAAAGCTGGCCATCTTCAGGGCCGCCTGCACATCACCCTGCCCATCATCTCCAATGAAAATGGCCTGAAGACTGTCCGCAGAGTGTTGCATCTGATCGCAACTCACATGCAATCTCTTCCCGACCCTTGTTGAATTGCTCACAAACACTTCCACCAAAACATCTTACCCCCCAACCCCATCCCAAAAATAGACAAACAAGCAAACAAACACTACCCTACCCCGAGCCGGCCCGCCCAAAGCATCTTCTTCGGCACCTTGGCTTGGCCAATGTCTCTCCCAAGCACTTGCTCCCAGTTCCGGAGCTTCGTCGCCCCAAACTTCCGGAAGTCGCCCCGCAGCGCCGGAAGCAGGTCCCGCAAGCGGCCGTATTGAGAACCTGAAACAAGGATGCAAAAAGAAAAACTCCAGTTCAAGCCCGAAGTCAAGGCGACGTCGCTGCGACGTCAACCGGTCCTTCAAAGTCAATGCCCCACTCAGGGAAGCCATTCTCTCGTGCCACACGTTGGAACTCCAGCGCCACTCTGCTTTTCGGCTTCATGCGCAGAAAGCCGAGCTTCTTTGGCCGAGCGGAAAGGAGCCTCACCAACCTGGGGGAAGAACCACGTCCCCGAGCCAATTCCAACATGAACTGGACCGCTCCAGGATACACCTCTTTCCTATAGCCTGCTTCGTCAACGCCGCCACCACGAGGACCTCCTGAACATTTGATGGTGTCGTCCACGTCAGAGAGAATCCTCAGACTCTGCATGGCTCGTTTTTCAATCAAAGCAATTGCCGTGCTCCATTAAACCTTTGTGCTCACCTCTGCGGGCAAATCCTTCACGGAATTTCGGTTGGTCGAGGATCGTGCAGAACAGAACCTACTCACCTTCCCTACACCATCGTTGAAGAGTTGCCACTGGGACACAGTCCAAGTGGCTGCGCCCCCACGGTGCCCCTCCACCACCGAACGATTCCAGCCGCTGCTTGGAAGGGCCACTGCGGCACACTGCCACCAGCGGGTGCATTCCGTGCAGGCCTGTGCATCAGAACTACCGCAGCCAGCTTCACGGACGGTCCGCTTTGCCATGTCTCCGAACATGACAATTACACGTGACTAGCTGATTTTGCAAGCATACCGCATACCTCCGACAGTCATCAAGTCCAGCTGCTACAGCATCGATTTTTACATAAACCAACGTTCTAACAATCCAACGGGGACCGGGATTTTACTAACTCCGGCAAAGGTTCCACTGGCCCACCCGATTCTCAAACACACGAAGCAAACATATGGAGTACGGTAATTATACGGTGGTGTGGGGACTAGTCTTATGTGTATGTGTGTGACTCAAGGGGCGCACGCCTCCAGGTCGTACACAGTGAATTCTACCCCAACCATCCCCAACCCCCATTACCAACTACCAGTGGGTTATTGTAGTTGCAGTCCTGACCCCCCCTGACAAAAAACCTGTGGCAGTGGGATCTGCTTGGTGGTGGGCTGACAAGGCCCGTGGCGGTGCAGATGTGGACTCCCTGTTTGTGGGGCCTCCGTGGGGTTCAGCCAGCGACGGTGGAACGGGCGGCAGAAACATCTTGGTGCGCTGGGTGTCCGGTTCACCACTAACGGTTTCTGCCGGCACGTGCTTGGTGGTGGGGCGCGTGGTTGACTTTTGGTGCCGGTGGCCAAGGAACCTGTATTTGGCCAATGCGGTGCACTTGCGGCTGGTCCACACACGGAAAGTGGATTTCTACAGAAGTGCATGGGCAGTTTGTTTAGTCTCAAGACAAAGTCAAGAACAACCACATGTTAGCACGTCCTATCAACATCAGTCGACCCTTTAAAAAAACAACACCACCTCCCAAACTCACTTGCGAACGGTCCAACGGTCCGCCCCTCAAAGCCCTTCCACGTAGGTGGGGTGCTAGAGGGTAAACAGTAGTGAACATGTGCAATGTGAATTGTGAATGCCCACATCTATACACAAAAAGGTGTGAAAAGAGCGACAACTCACACTATCGTAAATTACGATTTAGCCACGAACTCTCAGTTGTTGACAACGATGTCTGCTATCGAGTGCTTATTTCGGAGACATTTCTTAATACGCTGGTACAATCCGTTGCGATCCTGGAATGGGATTTCGGTACACTCCGGAATTAACGGCATAGTATGTGGAATCGGCGAGAGTTCCAAGCGTACATGATGTGGATACGATTGAGTCGGTTGAGACGAATAGTTTTTAACTATTTCAATGACTGCCGCTGGGTCTGGAAGTACCGGACGAGATGAGATGCCTCCGACAAGACTCTTATGATATCCCATCCTCACCAGGGAAGAAGCACCACTTTTCTTATACTTCGGAAATAAGGGCTGTTGCAAGGTATTCTCTAAATAACGAACAACAGCGCGAAGTGTATTGGCTTGGTGCCAGAGACTTCGGCTCTCTGGTTTTTGGATTTGTGCTTCTTCTGACAAGAAAGGATATGGCTTAGGAAGTTTTTCCCCTTTGTGGTATATCCAAATCGGCAAGGCAAAACCCGTATCGAGTTGAAAAGCTATAACAAGTTCATACCAGGAAATGCCCCAATCTTGGGGAAGGCGAGTCTGATCGGGGCGATGCCATTTGAGCTTTTTCATAAAACTCCAAACCCGGACTGCAGTATGGGCCCCCGCCGGGCACGCCTGTGCAATAATGGTTTCAAGTGGACTATCGAATTGCCAAAAATTTGCTTCAATATTCCATTTCATCAAGACTTCTTGATACTTGGTCACCTCTTCTAGCGCATTATAAGCATGTGTCTCCGCCGCTCTTTTTTCCTTTTCCTGTTTGAGTTTCGAATGTAAACTATTTAAGTCGGCGAGGTATGCGTATAGGTGGGCCAAGACCTGTGTCTGTTGCTTACTGTGAGTACGAATATCCTGACAGGCTGCTTGAAGTGCAGGCATTTCCTGTGCATTAATAATTTTGGCGGCTTCATCTGCAGCAAAGTTTCCTAGAATTGTATAGAGGTCATCCACACCTGTGGCGTCCTCTATATTTCGGTGGGATTTAACCTTAAAGACTTGAAGAAAGAGTGGATTCCAAGCCACTTGTAGTCGCCGAAACAAGTCGAAATGCGCGAGTCGGGATATATGGGGAATTGAGCTTCCACTGGTTAGTACCTCAATGCTCCGTTTAACAAAACTCGAGTCAGTGTAGATTGATACTTTGGCTTCTGGGAAGTGACGATGGAAGTACTCTATCAGCCAAACTACTGCTTCTAGTTCACTACGATTGATAATTTGTGGTCCTTTAGTGTGAGATGTTTGCGAGACAACGAAGTGATCGAGAGATGGGTCTCTAGTGTCATGGGCCACTTTTTGGACTACTGACCAAGCTGCACGACAACAATTTTGTTCACGAGGGAGATCACATGTCCCGTCCGTATAAAATTCGTTGTGAGCTGTGAGTCGAATATCTGGGTGATCCAAGAAAGGACCTGCTCGGCACCATTTAAGACGATTGTAAACCACCTGTTGCGGGTGAATTGTGGCAAGCGGGAGCCATAACAAGTTAGGATGGGACTCTAAGGAATTGACAGCTTGGGGGTGGTCTGTTCGCAAATGTGCAAAATCTGGGCATTGCAACTGCCTGTGCATATGATTATCAATTGCTCCACAAAATTCGCACTTATCTGATTGAGTAGAATCCCAAATCGCCTTTACCGTCCC